CTGGCTGCGTTCTTGATTTTGGTTATAGCCGCAGCCTGGCCTCCACATCTGACTGTACACAAAAGCTCCTTAGCCAGCTGAATCAGACTATTCAGCCTGAAAAGGAGATAAAATCCTGCCATTTGTGGCAGCCCGGGTGGCCCCAGAGGGCATTATGCTAAATGAACTAAGTCAGATGGAGAAAGGCAAACTCCGTACGATTTTACTCACATGTGGAAGATAAAGAAACAAAACTAATGAGCAAAGCAAACAGCAACAGCAAACTTGTAGGCAGAGAAACAAACTCATGGGTCCCAGAAGGCCAGGAGGAGGGTGGGCGGGCACGCGGCGTCCACCGTGTGTGTGTGTGTGTGTGTGTGTGTGTGTGTGTGTGTGTGCGCGTGTGTGTGTGTGGTGGGGGGCGTGTTGGTGAGGCACTTTGAGGCTGCCCCTCTTCCTCCTCCTGCGTCCTGTTATAAACCAGCGTCCTTCAATAAACAGTTTTTAAATGGAATTGAAGACAACGAATGTTCTCAGATGCAGAAAATGAGAGTCTGGGGTCTCCCTGAAAATGGAAACATAGGAGGAAGAATGCCCACCCCACTGTGTCCTGGGGGCCCGAGGAACCCTGCCCTGGCCCTGCAGGAGCCACGGTGTCGCAGTGACGGTGCAGATTGGAAGGAAAATTGAACAAAACCCTTTGTGGTCTCTGGTCCCCTTTGGCGCCTTCCCGGGGCTCAGCTCCACATGTGAGTGGCTCCCCCACGTGGAGTGAGGCGGACGTGGGACCTTGGTCTCAGCCCAGGAGAGCGTGTGGCACCGCGAAGCTCCAGCATGGAGGGGAGATCGTCAAGCCAGTTGTTCCAGACACAGCACTGTGCCTCCCCTCTCAGACTGGGGCTCCTTGTCTCCCCCATTCTGTGCCTTCCCCCATTCTGTGCCTCCCCCTTCAGACCGGGGCTCCTTGTCTCCCCCATTCTGTGCCTTCCCCCATTCTGTGCCTCCCCCTTCAGACCGGGGCTCCTTGTCTCCCCCATTCTCTGCCTCCCCCCTCAGACTGGGGCTCCTTGTCTCCCCCATTCTGTGCCTCCCCCCCTCAGACTGGGGCTCCTTGTCTCCCCCATTCTGTGCCTCCCCCCTCAGACTGGGGCTCCTTGTCTCCCCCATTCTGTGCCTCCTCCCTCAGACTGGGGCTCCTTGTCTCTCCCATTCTATGCCTCCCCCCTCAGACTGGGGCTCCTTGTCTCCCCCATTCTGTGCCTCCCCCCTCAGACTGGGGCTCCTTGTCTCTCCCATTCTGTGCCTTCCCCCATTCTGTGCCTCCCCCCTCAGACTGGGGCTCCTTGTCTCTCCCATTCTATGCCTCCCCCCTCAGACTGGGGCTCCTTGTCTCCCCCATTCTATGCCTCCCCCCTCAGACCGGGGCTCCTTGTCTCCCCCATTCTGTGCCTCCCCCCTCAGACCGGGGCTCCTTGTCTCCCCCATTCTGTGCCTCCCCCCTCAGACTGGGGCTCCTTGTCTCCCCCATTCTGTGCCTCCCCCCCTCAGACTGGGGCTCCTTGTCTCCCCCATTCTGTGCCTCCCCCCCTCAGACTGGGGCTCCTTGTCTCCCCCATTCTGTGCCTCCCCCCTCAGACTGGGGCTCCTTGTCTCCCCCATTCTGTGCCTCCTCCCTCAGACTGGGGCTCCTTGTCTCTCCCATTCTATGCCTCCCCCCTCAGACTGGGGCTCCTTGTCTCCCCCATTCTGTGCCTCCCCCCTCAGACTGGGGCTCCTTGTCTCTCCCATTCTGTGCCTTCCCCCATTCTGTGCCTCCCCCCTCAGACTGGGGCTCCTTGTCTCTCCCATTCTATGCCTCCCCCCTCAGACTGGGGCTCCTTGTCTCTCCCATTCTGTGCCTTCCCCCATTCTGTGCCTCCCCCCTCAGACCGGGGCTCCTTGTCTCCCCCATTCTATGCCTCCCCCCTCAGACCGGGGCTCCTTGTCTCCCCCATTCTGTGCCTCCCCCCTCAGACTGGGGCTCCTTGTCTCCCCCATTCTGTGCCTCCCCCCTCAGACTGGGGCTCCTTGTCCCCCCCATTCTGTGCCTTCCCCCATTCTGTGCCTCCCCCTTTAGACCGGGGCTCCTTGTCTCTCCCATTCTCTGCCTCACCCCTCAGACTGGGCCTCCTTGTCTCCCCTATTCTGTGCCTCCCCCCTCAGACTGGGGCTCCTTGTCTCCCCCATTCTGTGCCTCCCCCCTCAGACTGAAGCTCTTTATTGCCCTTCTTCCCTCAGACTATTTATTCTGTTGTACAGTCTCTGCCTCCCACAGCCCCTCTCAGTGGCAGGAGCCAGGCAGCCTCACGGCAAGGGCAGAGATGGGGGCTGGACCCAGTCCAGGTCTCTGTGCCTTTAGGGATGAGGGTTCTCCTGGCCACCAACTGGGCTCCTCTGTGTGCCGACCGGGGGCCTGGAGATCGGGGCACTCAGCCCTTGTGGGGCGGGAAGGGCTCCACACGCTCCACCACAGAGGAACCACGGCAGGGTCTCGGCGAGTATCTACACAGCACGTCTGCTGTCACACGCACAGCTGCCCTGCCGTGTGGTGTCACATGCACGGGCCTTCCCAGTGCCCGGGAGGGCAGGAGGGAGGGACCGGGACTGGGCTAAGGACCCTGCTGGAGCTGTGTGCTTTCGCCCAGGGGACCTGACTGCCCTTTGGTGCATGCATGGGCCCTGGAGGTGCTCCGGCTTTCACCCGGTGCTCCATCTCAGAGGCTGGGGGGCTCTTAGAGGGGACGAGACAGAGGGACAGTCCCTGTCGGAGGACACGAGATCTGCGTGAGGAGCCAAGTAGAACAGCGGTGAAGACGGGAACGCAGATCCAGAGTGCTGTGTAGACCTGGCTGGGAACCTTGGCTTCTCCTGTGGCTCATCTGTGGGGAAGCACGTGGAGCCCTTCCGACTCCCTTTGGGCTGTGCACCCATTCTCCAGGCCGCCGGCGGGCACACACAGATGCCCAGCTGGTGCTCTGGTGAGTGAGGCAACGGACGGGCACTACGGAGTCAGGGTGCTCCAGGAACAGCAGGGATGGAGAAGAGGGCGTGAAGGCAAAGAGAAAGGAGGAAGAGGGCAGGGTGGGGGCCACGAAGATAACCGTGGCCTCCTGCCTTTCTCTTTTCCTTCCTCTTACTAGCCCCTGCCTCTGTGCTCCCCAAAGTTCTCCAGGAGTTAGTAGGTCTAGAACCCTGGCTAGGGTCTTTCTCTGCTGGGTCAGAGATAGGCAAGAAGCACAGGATTGGTGGGATCAAGGAGCCAGTTGGATTCCCAGGGTGTCCTTAGCTCCAGTTGCTGGATCAAGGTGCTTGATCAAGCCCTTCCTGAAACCCCTCCTCTTAGCCTGGAGCAGGGACAGGAACATCTTCTTGACTTGACAGCTCCAGCCAGGACTGCTCCAGATTTGTTGGCTTTCTCTTCACAGGAAGCAAAAGCCCCCCCCCCCAAACACCCCCCCCCCCCCAAGGCCCAGGGTAGAAATCAGTTGGGATGACAAAAATCAGTAGGGTGATGGAGTCATGCCCTGGTCACCACTTGACACACAGATCTGCCCCCCCTTCTTCCTGCCTTCCTCCTTTCCTACATTTTTGCAATATTTTCCCCAAACACAGTCATCATTGTCTGCATGGTCATCACTGAGAGCATTAGTACGAGCAAAACCATATCATGTGATTCTAAGTGCAATGACAGAGACCGCAGGTTTACAGCCCTGCAGTGCCATGTCATGCACAGTCTTTCCAAAGACCGGGTCCAGTGTAGCTCCCTGGTTAGTATTTGCCTCTAGAGTCAGTTTATCAGTGTGTGTGTGTGTGTGTGTGTGTGTGTGTGTGTGTGTGTGTGCATGCCTCACTACAGCCCAGCTGCCCCTGCTTTGGAGGGTAGTCCCAGGGATTCTGGCAAATGCATCTTTGAGAAACCAGCCCTGGGTCATACACATTCATTTCTGTGTCTGTTGAAATGAACTCCCTGCCTAACGGGAGGTTTTTGCTTTTATAAAGAATGGTCATACTATGCGTCAGTCTCTATGAACAATGTTGGTGGTGTCTCAAAATACTAAGGATAGTGCTGCCTTATGACCCAGCAATTCCACTTTGCACTAGTCCAAAAAGATATACCCACACTTGTATTCATTACAACACTGTACAAATCGTTGGAAACAACCCAAATGTCCAATTACAGACAAATGGATAGAGAAGTTGTGATATATATATATATAGTCATATATATCACAGTGAAATATTGCGCATGCAGCTGTAAGAAAGAACACTATGCAACTGTAAGAAAAGATGCAGTCATGCAGTTTGCTGCAATTTGGATGGAATTGGAGGGTATCGTTCTGAACAAAATTAGCCAGAGGGAGAAAGATAAGGACCATATGACCTCACTCATCTGTGGTACAGGGAAACTAACAAGGGCATAGCAAGCATCACTTGATAGCAAAGCCTGGGTACTGGCACACAAGCTGAAGTCAAGATGCTCTGGGGTGATAGGTGGACAGGATGTGACTCACAGTTATGGACGGGGGATGGGGGGGATGGGGCATTTTGGTGCTGGTGACATGAGGTCACTGTGTGCACAGTTACAATCCATGTCAGCATCTCAGGAAACATATTACTTTAACTCTAATAAAATTTTAAAATTAAGAGAGAGGCCAGAGCGATAATACTGCAGGTAGGGTGCTTGCCTTACACCCAGTCAACTGGGGTTCAATCCCCAGCACCCCATATGGTCCCAGCCAGGGTGATTGCTGAGCACAGAGCCAGGAATAACCCCTGAGCCTCACCAGGTGTGACCCCAAATCCCCTAAATAAAAATTAAGAGGAAAAGAGTGGCTGATCTGCCAGGCGCTGTCCTGGCCCACCATCGGCTCTGATGAGCAGGTGCTGCGCGGGCATCCTCTTCCTGGTCTCTGGGCACCATGGGTCTGTGCGTGGGCACCAAGCAGCTCCGTCTCGTCTCACCAGGCCCTCCTTCTCCTCAGGGAACCGCCTGGATGAAGGCTCGGACGTGGAGTCAGAACCGGATCTGCCGCTGAAGCGCAAACAACGCCGTAGCCGGACCACCTTCACGGCCGAGCAGCTGGAGGAGCTGGAGAAGGCCTTCGAGCGGACTCACTACCCCGACATCTACACCCGCGAGGAGCTGGCCCAGAGGACCAAGCTGACGGAGGCGCGCGTCCAGGTGAGGAGGTGCCTGGTGGGAGGCTGGGGGGGCGCGAGGGGAGACAAAGACCAGCAATGAGGGGTGGGGGGGATGGCCAGGGAGTGAATGCTTAGCAGGTTCTGGGGGTCGCAACCGTCAGGAGGTCCAGCGACCAAGGAGACAATGCCAATGGCATGAAAGTGGGATAAGGGGCAATAAAGGGTGTTGACCGACCGCCTAGGAGTGGCAGGAATGCAGAGAGCCTTGCTGGATGGAGCTCATCCTCCAGGTTTAAAAGAAAAAAAAAAAAGAGGATGGACAAATAGAGCATCAATAGAGCATAGGAGGGAGCCAGGGAAGAGGCGGAGTCTGGACACATCCCGGCTGAGTGGGGATGGGGTCCAAGCTGGTCATGAGGCGCAGCTTCTGTGGGGTGGCCCTCCATCCCTGGGCCTGTCTCCTCCCTGAACAGTGTTGGGGGTGGGGGGAGGTGGTATGCCAAAGACTACCCGAAATTGCTGGGGGCTCTCACACCTGTTCACAGACCACCTTATCAGGCCCCTGTGGCTGCACACCGCCCCCTCCCCAACCCCCCCCCCCCACCCCCCACAAAGTAACAGGCCCAGAAATAGATCCAGTGGAGGAACTAGGCAAGCTGTGAATAGACTCAGAGCCTGGGATTTGAAAGTTTTTAAAAGGGAAGTTTTTAAAAGCAAACTTGTGTTTCAGCCTTGCAGAAATCAGCGACTCTCTCTGGCCTCCCCACCTCTCCGCCTCCCCCCTGGCCCTCCCCTGAGTGAGAGGCCCAGGCTGTCTCTGAGGGAGACCCCCAAGGGGAGGGGGAGGGGGGCTGGGGCAGCAGCCCCCTTGCTCATCACCCCCCTCCCCTCTGCTCCCAGGGTGACATCTGAGCCTGCCTGCCCTGCCTCCCTCCCTCCTCTGATCCACCCGCAGCTGTTCCCCGGCACATTCCCGGGCGCTTTCTCATTCCCACGTCTGGCCCTCGGCTGCTTCCCACCACCTTGAAGGCTCGCCACCGCTTGTAAAATTTCCTGGCTGTCAGGGCACTGCCTTTATTGGCCCAGGGGACCAGGGAACAGGTGCCATTCAAGGTCTGGGGCGGGCGGGGGGAGAAGGAGCAGCAGATCCCAGACAGACCCAGAGTGGGGGGGCCCAGGCGGGCCTCCCCCTCACATGCTAACTCCTCCACCAGACCTTGAGCTCCTCCAGGGCAGGGCTGAGTCTCCCTGCAAGTCTGAGAGCTTTCCCAGCACAGAAGAGGGAACAAATGTTGAGGTTTTGTTTTAGTTTGCTTGCTTGGTTTTGGGGCCACACCTGGCGATGCTCAGGGCTCCGCACTCAGGAATCACTCCGGGCGGTGCTCAGAGGGATGCTGAGGATCGAATCCAGGTCTGCCACATGCACGGAAAATGCCCTCCAGCTGTACTGTTGCTCCGACCCCTGTTCATTTTGTTTGGGCTCAGAGTTTACTCCTGGATCTGTGCTCAGGAGTCACAGGGGCCCCAAGAATCAAACCTGGGTCAATCATGTGCAAAGTGAGCGGCCTACCTACTATACTATGTCTTTAGCTCTCAATGTTGAATTTAAAAAAAATGGACAAAAGTTAACTTCCTTCCTCCCCCCCCCCCCCCCCCCGCCCCCAAATTGAGACAGGATGCAGGAGAGTTCAAAGTGCTGAGTATAGGCTTTACCTGCAGAAATCCTGGGCTTGATCCCCAGGACTATGCGCATGGTCTCCCAAGCACTGCCATGAGTGACCTCTGAGCACTGCCAAGAGTGACAAAAAGAAATTGAGACATGCTGGAACATTTGGCAGGAGAATAAGAGAGGTGTCTGACATGGTGAGCGGTCCAGAGGGTGGCACCAACCTGAAGGTCTCTAAAGAGTCTCCCAGATCAGCTTTGTCAAGGGCTCAGCGTCTTTGTGTTTTTTTTTTCTTTGTCTTTTTACGGGCCACAATCCATGGTGCTCAGGGCTTACTCCTGACTCTGCGCTCAGGGCTTACTCCTGACTCTGCACTCAGGAATCACTTCTGGAGGGTTCAGGGACCAATGGGGTGCTGGGGATTGAACCCAGGTCAGTCATGTGCAAGGCAAGGGCCCTGTCCACTGTACTATCTCTTTGGCCCCAAAAGCTCAGCTTCTGGTCTGGAGTCTCATTTACCATCTGTGAATAGGGAACTCAAACTGCCTGATGGCTGAGTCCCTTAAGGTTGGAAGGTTCTTCCAGACCATCAGGTGCTGTGTGAAATGAAGTGAACCCCGTGAGCAGAAAGGCCTCAGGAAAAGATGGGTTCAGCTAGGAAGGTCCCGGAGAGGAGGATTCCTGCACTCAGAGGCAGCGGAGCACGGCTGCATGTTGCTCTCTGCTCACTGCTCTCTCGCTTTGAGGGCCCTGTTCTGAGAGTGTGTGGTGCTGCCCTCAGGGGCTTGTCCCAACTCCAAGGCCCAGAGAGAAGCACAGATTTTGTATTGGCTCAGCATGGGCACCTAGCTAGACCCCTTGGGGAGAATCCCACCTCATAACCTACCCTCTCTGGTCTCAGTTTCTCATCAACATGGAGATGGTAACAGTCGATTCGAGGCTGGGGATTACACATACACACTTACACAGTGTCCAGCAGATAGAATGGCCATAAACAGGGGCCCTTATCAGCATGGTTCCACCCATTATTGGTGGTTCCCCCTCTGGTCACCCTTGAAAGCCCCGGGTCACTTACTGAGCACCTACTGTGTACCTGCCTTGCAGGCACTAGAGGATCAGCAGACAGAAATCACAGCTTTCCTGGACTCCGCCCCAAGCTTTCTGTTATAAATGGAGCCCAGCTTCACACATTTGGCTGGAGCGAATGCGCCCTTTGATCTCTGAGTCATGTGTTTCTCTGGAAACAGAGACCTTCCTGAATGGAACCCTATTTTTGTTTTGTGTCTTTGTTTCGGGGCCATACCCAGCATGCTCAGGGGTTCTCCTGGCTCTGAACTCAGGAATCACTCCTGGCAGTGCTTGGGGGACCATATAGGATGCTGGAGATTGAACCCAGGTTGGCCTTATACAAGGCCAGTGCCTTATCCACTGTACTATCACTTGGGCCCAGAACCCTATTTAAAAAATTGGGGGGGCCCACACCCGGCAATGCTCAGGGCTTACTCCTGGCTCTGTGTTTGGGGGGGTCACTCCTGGAGGGGATCAGGGGACCCTATGAGATGCCGGGGATCGAACCTGGGTCAGCTGCATACAAGGTTCCTATCCACTGCGCCCTATTTTGGAGGCAGTAGCGGAATTTTCCCTTTGGTTTTATTTCTCAGGGAGCCGTACTCACCAGTGCTTGAGGCTCCTCCTCCCTCTGTGCTCAGCGCTTGAATCTGGTAGTGTCTGGGAGTCCATATTTGGTGCCAGGGTCAAACAGGGTCAGCTGCTTGCCAGGAAAATGCTCTATCTCCTGACCTGTTTCTTTGACCCGGGACCCCTTCTCTTTTTTTAAGGGTTTTGAGGTACCATGACTTACTAGTCCTGCCAATGACAGTCTTATTGTGTGCAGATTGCTACAACAGCCCGTCTCTCACTAGAGTGCCTCTTTCCACCTGTGTCTCAAAGGCCCAGCCCCGCTTGTTCAGTTCTGTAGACCAACTGTCCGGTCCTGCTGCCTTTGGCCACTTGTTGCTCCCATTATTATGTGACTTTATTTATCTTTCAAAGATGACATTTCTAACAGTAGTTTACTGGGGGAGGCAAACTCCCACTTCAACCCCTTAAAACAACCCCCACTACCCTGGTAGTACCAGGGAACCCTGGGGTGAGTCCATGCCAGGCACGAGGTTTGGTGCTCTGCCTCGGTTACTCTCTGGTAAGGGGCCCTAGAGGAGGGAGGTTGGTCAGCTGAGTCTTTCCACCTTCTGGGGAGCCAGCTGGGACTGAGCCGAGGAAGTTGTTCCCGAAAGACACAGTGAGGGGCTGTGCTGGGCTGGGACCGCTTCGCCCCCAAGCCTCAGGAGAGGGCCAGAGTCGGGACAAGCTGCATCCAGCAAACTCATTCCCTGCTCGCAGGGCATGAAGGGACACAGATTAATACTGCGCCCAGCCGTGACCATCTGGGGGCTCAGCGCTGGCCAGGGAGGCTGGCTGGGGTGGCTGCCATCACCCTGTCCCTCCGGGAGCCCTTATTCCCCCCCTCACCCCGAGTTATGGACAGTTTGCACCCTGTGCTTGGCCGAGTGTCCCATGCTCAACCTTGGAGAGTGTTTTGGGCTCACTAAAAGCCGACTTAGTTAGAAGTCAGGGCAGGGCTCCAACCCCGCCAGCCAGAGAGGCTCCAGAGACCCCACATACACCATCATGTCACACTGTGAGCCAGCGGGGTACCCTGCCTCAGAGCTTAAGGCATTGCTGGGGAGACAGGACAAAGAGGGAAGATGGGGGAGGAGACTAGCAGCAAAAGATGTTCTCCTCCAGGAAGTCCTCCTGGATTCTGAGAGATACAGCTGGAAGTGCTTCCTTCAACCCTCTTGAGAGATGTCACCTTGTCTGAGTTGACTTTGCCAGAAAGCAGCTGTTGATTGGTGTGACTGTCATGCCCAGGCAGAGGGCAGTTGGGGGCTACACCTTTTCAGCTCTCTAACTTTAGTCTCTTGCTTGGGATGGAGCAGAGTCCCACCCAGCAAAGATTTTGCTTGTTTGCCATTTATTGGTTTGGGGCCACACCTGGCAGTACTCAGAGCTTATTCCTGGCTCTGTACTCAAGGATCATTCCTGGAGGTGCTTAGGGAACCATATGTAGTTCTGGGGAATCAAACCAGAGTCAGCCTCATACAAAGCAAGCACCTTAACCTCAGTGCTATCTCTCTGGGCCCCCAGAAAGAGTTGGAGCTGAGGTGGACTGAAGAGGAAGGGAAGGAAAAGGAAGGGAGAAAGATGCTTCCAGCCGATTTCATTCTCTATTGGAGAAAAATAAGAACCAGTCAGCCAGAGCAGCATGCCCTAACAGAACTTATCTTCAACGTCTTCCTGATTTTTGCCACGTTTGCTGTTACTATGATATTTATTTATTTATTTATTTATTTTCTTTTTTTGGGGTCACATCCGGCAATGCACAGGGGTTACTCCTGACTCATGCACTCAGGAATTATTCCAGGTGGTGCTCGGGGGGACCATATGGGATGCTGGGAATCAAACCCGGGTCGGCTGCATGCAAGGCAAACGCCCTACCCGCTGTGCTATTGTTCCAGCCCCCTGTTATTATTATTTTTAAAAACCAGCGTATTTTATTTACTGGCGCTGCTGGAGCCCACCTTGGCTACCCTTTTAGTGCTCTTGGGGACTGAAGTGGGATCCTGTGTGTGCCAGGCACGTGCTCCATGCTATCTCCCAGGTCCCTAAAACTCGGCATATTTTAAATTTAAAGTGGCATCACTTGCATGAAAGGAAACACACGGGATGTGAAAGAATACAATAGGATTGAAGTCCTGCTAGAAGCGTCACCTGCAGGGCCCCTGCTCTGGGTCAGAGAGGGGGTGGTTGCCTCCGGATGGCTGCAGGCGTGACTGCACCCAGCTGAGCCCTTCTCAGCAGTGGGCTGCTTCTGACTTCAGTGATGTCTCTTCCTCCTCTCCCTCTGGTCTGAGATGTCTCTCCTCAGCGGGTGGCAGGAGGGAAGTTTGACATTCAAACAAAGGTGCTCCCCAGGTCCCTGCATCTATCTATCCATCCATCCATCCATCCATCCATCATTCCACCCACCTACCCACCCACTCATCTGTCTGTGCATCCATTCATCACTCCACCCACCCATCTATCAATCTATTTATTATTCCACCTACTTATCCGTCCATCCATCTACCCACCCATCTATCATCCATCCATCGATCCATCAAACATTCTTCCATCCATCCATGCATCCATCCATGCATCCATCCATCCATCCATCCATCCATGCATTAATCTACCTATCCGTCCACCTACCTACCCACTTGTTTGTTCATCCATCTATTTGGCTATTAATTCACCTGTCTGTCTATCATCCATCCATCCTCCAAAAAATATCTGTGATCACCTCTCTATCGGTGAGTGATGAATACATGCCTTGGGGGACCTAGGTCCTAGACACAGACTATTGGTGTTAGGAAGTAGCGGGCTGGAGGTCCCCCAGGAGAAAGTCTCCTAAACGTACCTTCCACGCCGTGATGAAGGAGCTGGAGCGAGAGTGGCCTTTCAGCTGAGCCTACAGACTAGGAGCCAGCTGCAGGAAGTGGTTCTCCTGGGATCATATGCAATGGCATATGCAAAACCCAGAGATGGGGAAAAAAGACCCCCTAGGAGCTGCCCCTTCTCTCACACTCATTTTCCTCTTTCTCGGGCCTGTCTGGGAACTTGTGGCAAATCTGGCTAAGTGGGCACTGGAAAGTCTAACTGGTTTATGTTAGAAAATCGGACCCATTACAAAGTTGCTCCGTGACCTCGGACAAGTCATTTGAGCTCTTGGAGACTTACTTTTCCCTTCTGTAAAATGGGAGCAGGAAGACATGTCTGATGGTTGGCAAAGGGATTGGCTTGCGACCATCAGAGCAAGATGTGATGGGAAGGGAAATTTAGAGATGCGAGATCTTTTTACTACTGACGATCCCTCAGTCTAACTCTGTGAAGGGTGATTTCCTAGTCCAGGGGATGTACACTGCAGGAAAAGGGCAGGGCCTCCAGGTCTCTGCAGAGAGCCAGGACTCCTGGGGATGAGGGATAGTACAGTGGGTAGGGTGCTTGTAGCCTTCCCGGGTTCGATCCCCGGCATTCCAACTCTGGTGGGCTCCCTGAATCCACCAGGAGTGATCTTTGAGCGCAGAGCTAGGAGTAAGTCCTGAGCATCACTGGATGTGGCCCCCAAACAAACCAACAACAAAACAACAACAGCAACAGCAACAAAAATATCTGAGTCTGGCTGGTAAGTCTCAACCGGTAGGTTTCGGTTATGCAGCTTCTTCCTGAAGAATTTCCTGGAGGAGGCGGGAATGAGTGTGTGTCAGAACAAGGGAGGGGAGGAGCTCAGGCATCCTTCAGAGCAGGAGCAGCTGAGGGGGAGTGAGACCAGCACATCAGCCACCTAGGCCCTCATAGCCCCCTCCCCGGGGAGGTCCTAGAGTAGAAGAGGATGGAGCCAGAAAATGGCTCTGCCATGAATTCTGAGCGACCCAGAGGTGTGATCTCCTCCGGGGAGGAGGGTGCTGGCCTGGGGACAGGCTCAAGCTGTGTCCACTTGCCACCAGCAGCCAGGCTGAGATCTCTATCCTCACTCTCTGCCTACCCAGGTATGGTTCAGTAACCGCCGTGCCCGTTGGCGTAAGCAGGCAGGAGCCAACCAGCTGGCCGCCTTCAACCACCTTCTGCCGGGGGGCTTCCCTCCCACGGGCATGCCCACGCTGCCCCCCTACCAGCTGCCGGATTCCACCTACCCCACCACCACCATCTCCCAAGGTAAGTCCCCACACCTTGTCCTGGCTTCTCACCCCAACCCCCGGAACCCTCCGCGCCTCCTCCCTTCATGAGCCAAGAAGGAATAACTTTTCCTTTGTTCTGTTTTGCTTTTTTGTTTTGGGGTCAAACCCAGCAGTGCTCAGAGGTTACTCTTGGCTCTACGCTCTAGGATCACTCTTGGCAGTGCTCAGGGAACCATAGGGGATGTTGGGGATGGAACCCAGGTTGGCAACATGTGAGGCAGATGCCCTCCCCACTGTATTATTGCTCCAGCCCCCAGGGCTTGTTTTTCAAGGAGTGTTCGTCTGCTTCCATGTGGGCAGGCTGTTATGGCACAAAGAAGAAGCCCTGCTCTTGGACTTGGTACCTCGGCCGGCAGGCTGTAGGAGAAAAACACAGCTGTCTCCATGCACACATGGAGAACAGTTTCCCAAGCAGTAATGGCACATGCCTCTCCTAGGATCCTTATTAATGTGCCCCAGAGAGGGGGAAGGTAGCTTTCCGTCCCCTTAAACCCTGACCTCCCTCCCCTCCCCCTTCTCCCTCTACACATTCAGAACCCCCAGCTCGAAGCCCCAGTATCCTCTTCACGGGCTGGCAGGCTGAGGGTGTCAAGGCCACAGGGACCCTCCCTATGATTCTGGATGAAATGGATGGGCGGTTGGATGAAAAACTCAAGTCCTGCCTACTGCACAACTGCACAGAAGGCCACTGGTGTTCTTCTGCCACAGCTATTCTGCCCAGCAGCCAGGAATAGAAACAGCAGTCCTGACCCTGGCCCTGAGGCTCACAACCCTTATCATGGTCAGCAAGAGCCAGGCCCCACTCAGCCTCAGTTTCTTCATCTGTGAAGTGGGAATCCTCTTGCCTCCTCCCCTTAGAAGGTGTCTGGTGGATGGTCTGAAAATGCCGTCAGGTCAGGCTGGGGTCGATTGACACTGTCTGTAGTGAGGCCTGGTCTTCTGTCCAGGTAGCATCTGTTGGGCCCCGACCTTGTGCCAAACACCAAGCAATAGGAATGGTGTGCTATTGTCCAGGCTTGTCTGGCCTACTGGCCACCTGTCACACCCGGCCGGGCCTTACGGCTCTGGCCCACGCAGCACCAGTAGGTGGTAGCCGCTGCTGCCCTCCAAGGGTGGACGCTCAGCAGAGCGCTGGCCCTGCTGAGGCGCTCCCTGGGGTCTCTCCACAGATGGGGGCAGCACGGTGCACCGGCCCCAGCCCCTGCCACCATCCACCATGCACCAGGGGGGCCTGGCCGCCGCGGCCGCTGACACCAGCTCTGCCTACGGCGCCCGCCACAGTTTCTCCAGCTACTCGGACAGCTTCATGACCCCGGCGGCACCCTCCAACCACATGAACCCCGTCAGCAACGGCCTGTCTCCTCAGGTAGGCACCTCTGCCCTGGGTCACCTCTCCAGCCTGCAAGGGCTTGGGGCCTAGTATTCTCCCGGGGGAAAGGTGGTGTTGCGCGGTGCCCCCTGCTCTGAAGGAAAGCTTTGGTGTTCTGTGACCTTTCACCCAGCACTGAGCTGTTTTCGGCTACAGATTTGGGGGACCCAGCAGAGAGGTGCAGAGAAAAGGGTTTCTATACTTCCTGTCTCCCCGAAACAGGCTCTGTGTTATATATAAACCAGCCCCGCAGCATCTGAAACTGGCTTTTGGGTCCCCCAAGGTCAGGCATCTCTCCACCAGTAGAGTTGGGGAGCCTGGCCTGATGGCCTGGAAGATGCCCATGACGGCTGGGCTTTGCTCTCCAACCAGCCCCAGGAGGGACCCATGAGTGAGAAGCACGCCCTGTCTCGTTGCTGGAGAGAATTGTGGCTGAGGGTCTAGCTCGGGAGCTCTGCTCCCATTGGAGCTTGGAACTCTTTACTGCCATGTGATTGGTTGCTGGTGAAGTTACCCATTGCCTGAGGGTGCTCTTGCTGGTTAGGGAACGTCCTCTAGGTGCCAAGTTGGAGGATGACATTGGGGCTGCTGGTGGTTATTGGTGGGCTTGGGGAAAACAGCACTTGGTGATGCTCAAAGTCCCGGCATTTGAGGAGCCAGGAGCTCATTTTTGTAGCTGCTGCTGCAGGCTCCCAAATCTCCATGTGGAAAGTAGGTAGTTCTAAGTCACTGCCTTCTGGTGGCTGGTGAGGCTGCTGGTGATGTCCACATCTGGGCAGCTGCAGAAAGGGGACACTGGGCCAGCTCCTCTGCTCAGGGTGCTGTTTGGCACATCCACCGCCCTGAGCCTGAATTTATCCTCGTTACAAAAGCATGATTGATGGAAGCGATAGTACAGCAGGTAGGGTACTTGCCTTGTACTCAGTGGACCCGGGTTCCATCTTCAGCATCCCCTATGGTTCCCTGACCCTGCCAGGAATGATTCCTGAATGCAGGGTCAGGAGTTACCACCAGGCACTTCCAGGGGTGTCCCCAATGAATAAATAAATAAAATATTAAAATTAATACCAATATAACATTTTAAATTTAATGTAAAATATAAAAATATGTAGAAACACAAAAAATAAATAAAGCAATAAATGAACAACCAAACAAAGGTTACTAAGCTCTGATTCAGGGCATTCCCTGTTCTCAGGGTCTGGGAATCCCACACAGTGCTGGTTCTCTGGGCTTTCCATTGCCAGGACAATCTGATCAACCTCCTTGAACACTGTACCTAAAGTTAAAAGGGAGGGCAGCAAATTCCAACCCCACCCCCCCCCGCCCCCAGCCATGCCCATCTGCTAATCTGTTTTTTTTAAATAAAGTTTTATTGGCAGATGGCCATCCCATCCCTATGCATATTCATGGCTGCTTTGGCTATAACTGCAGCCGGGTAGCTTCAGAAGAGACCATATGGCACACGCAGCCTTAAATATCTGCTCTCTGGTCCTTACAGAAAAACTTTGCCAGCCCCTGGTTCTGCCTGTTTGGGGTTCATGCCCGTTGCTGTGATTAACATACTGTAATTATTTTAGCACCAATTACGCTTGAGTTCTAATGCTTGCTTGTGGCTAAGATCCTTCCCTTGCCCTTGGTTTAATTTTCTCAACCCTGAAATGGGGATCCTCGTAGCTGCCCCTCACAAGGTCACTGCAGACCGAGTGGGGTAACAGGGCAGGTCAGCCGTGCAGGCGGAGCTCCTGCCTGGGGTTCTCCCAGGGGCCCTGCATCAGGGAAATGCGACCTGCCAAGCAGAGTATTTTCCCATTGGAAGTACATCGCCTCTTTGGGGTTCAAGGCCCTGACCTCTGTCTCCTTCACAATAAGGACTGGTGAGCTGAGCTCAACCCCCAGGGGTAGGAGTGAGACGCAGGAGCACCCCAGAGCCAGCTGAGCACCGACCCCAGCACTCACCCCCTGAACGTGGTCCAGGTCTGGCCTCAGGGGCTCCCACAGTTGGAGAAGGCTCATTACTCAGAAAGCCAAAGAAGTCTGTCAGGATGAGTGGGGGAAGTCTTTGGGGATAGAACACCCACTCCACGGGAGGACACAGTGTCTGCTGGGGCCGAGCCCCCTTAACCACTGTCCCTGCAGCTCATAGTCTCCGTGTAGACCGTATCCCCTGAAAGCAGCACTTTTCACTAGCAAAGAAGAGCCCACTGGAGGCTTCTCGAGGCTTCTGGAGCATGGGCCAGGTTCCCAAGTGGCAGCCCAGAAACGCACCTCGGGCAGGGAGAGAAAAGGACCTGCTGTTCTCAGCAGCCAGAACCAAACACTTTCCCCCCAACCCCCCTATCGCCTCTGCGGGACCCTTGAGGCCTTCCTCCTGGTTCCTCCTCCAGGCAGAGAGGCTGTGAAGGGTGATGGATGGGGTGAACTTCAGGGACTTTCCCTGAGATTCCCACCAAAGGTGCGAAGACAGATGAGGGGCTGACGGGCAGAGGGTGCAGGAGGTGAACAGCTGCTGGACTGGGGGAGGGGGTGTGCAGGGCCGACCGGAGGGCAGCTGCGAGTGTGCTGGGGTGTGTGCGTGTGTGTGTGTGTGTGTATGTTTGTGTGTGTGTGTGTATGTGTGCATGCGTGCACGTGTGTGTTCGCATTGTATGCTTGCATGTGTTCTTGCTTATGTGCCGTGAACCTGCAGGGGTTAAGCTGCAAACACTTCCGTAGGAGAGGGGTGGAGAGGGGGCCAGTTTCTGGGTCTTGTCCAGAAGCCTGCTCCTTGAGTCAGCTTCCTCCTCTGCACCTCTGAGCCAGCCCTTGCACCTACTCAACTCCTTTCTCTGGTCTGGTGAGGGATGGAGGTGGGGGGCTTCCCCGCCATGAGAAGGTCATAGACACAATCCACTTAAACAGTCATGGTGGGATTCAAACTCTGCAGCCTGAGATCTATTTTTTTTTTTTTGTATTTGGGTCACATGCAATGGTGCTCAGTAGTTACTCCTGGCTCCACACTCAGGAGTTACTCCTGGTGGGCTCGGCAGACCCTATGTGATGCCGGGGATCAAACCCAGGTCAGTCACATGCAAGGCAAGTGCCCTACATGCTGTACCGCATCTCAAAAGCCCTGCAGCCTGAGACCTTCCCCCACAAGCCGCCCTCCCGCCTCTCAGGAGCCATGCGGGGAAGGCAGTGCCTGTCTCTGCACAGGAAGGACTCAGTCATAGGCAGTCCCCATCATGGATGAGTCGACCGAGGGTCCACCCCCCCCCCAGGCCCCAGGAACTTAGAGGAGGGATTGAGGGGGGGGGGGAGCAGCTGCTGAGTCATACAGGAAGTCTGGTCCCTTCCCCCACCCCACCCCAGTCTCAGCCTCACAGGGTCCGTGCTCAGCACCGCCACGTCATCATAGCTCATGCTCAGGTTGATCTAGAGATGGGCCGCTGCCCTGAGCCCTCCTTCCTGAGGGGTCCCTGGGGGACCAGGACTTGCAGGCCTGTAGGTCCAGGCTGAGTCAAGCATGGACATTTTATTTTGTGGGGTTTTTTTTCTTTTTGTGTCATACCTGGCAATGCATAGGGGCTACTCCTGGCTCTGTACTCAGGAATTACTCCTGGTGGCGCTTGGGGGACCATATGGGATGCTGGGAATCGAACTGGGGTCAACCGCGTGCAAGGCAAATGCCCTACCCGCTGTGCTATCTCTCCAGCCCCCATGGAGATTTTATTTTGAACTTAATTTTTTTGAATGAAAGCACTGTGCTTGACAGAGTTATTCACTGTTGAGTTTCAGACCCACCTTATTGCAGCACGGATCCCAGCACCAGTGTCAGAGTCCCCCACCCACGTTCCCAGATTCTGTTCCCAGATTCCTCCCTTATCCCCCTACCTCCAGCCGGCTGTCTTGACCCGCACCTTTCTAAGTGTGGTTGTTACGCTTTGGGTCTGTTGATTTCAGTGTTGTTGACTCTATGGTTTAAGTATTTAGATTTTGGTGGTGTTGTTGTTTTGTTCTCTGCAGGGAGGGGTGCTCCTGAATCACTCCCCTCCCCAGCTTGGAGGGTCACTCTGGGCTTTGTGCTTGGGTGTCACTCCTGGTGGTGCTCAAGGTGGGGGGAACCAGAAAGTGCCAGAATCCCATAGGCATAGCAAGCTGTGTATGCACGCACCCCCTTGGGCTGTCTCTCAGTACCGTACTGAACAGTTACTTCGAAGCAAAGATTAGCTCTGAACTCATCCAGGGTCAGTATTTTGATCCCAACTCCAGAGACAGCTCCAGGGAACATTGGTCCAAATGGGACCTTTTGTGGTGTGGGTGACATTGAATAACCTGACAGCTGCCAGTGGTTAGGTTGGATCCCTTCAGACCAGCCGAGTCTAGAATTGTCCATAGGTCATGTTTGGGGGAGTGCCCAGGCACAGAAAGGAGGGACACTGAGGCCAGCCTGAGGAATCCCCCAGTCTGATGCGGGAGGTGGCAGGGACACAGCCCCATCTCTAGAGGCTCCAGTGCCCATCCTGGGTAGCTGAGAGTCTAATGGAAGAGAAAAGTAGTCTGATGTTGGAAGCCCTGGTCTCTCTCGGAACCTTCCCAATCTGACAGGGGAGACAGGAAGCAGCAAATCAGGTGGCACTAACCAGTCTAGGCACCCCAAATAGGAACCCTGGGAAGAGTTCCGTGCTTCCTGGGTCACGGGGCTGGAGGCTAAGGACAAGGTGGCCTGTGCTGGGGACCTCTTTGAAACCTGTAGAGGTGTGTCCCAGAAGACAGCCTTCAGCTGACTCCTCCTCCTCTTCCACCCTTTATTTAGCGCATATATCATTAGGGGTGATGGTTACAAGGAAAAACAGACCCAGAGAGGGGGAGACACTTGCCCCCAAATCCCTCCATGGGGGACAGTGAGGGTTGTGGCCATAGCGTCCTAGGCAGGGCCGTCCCTGTGGGACCACCACTGTCCCTTCTGCTTCCCAGAGTGTCCCACACTGTTCCTGCCTTGGAAGCAAATGCAAAAGAAC